ATCCTTGGATGGACCTCGTCGGGCCCCAACGCGCAGAATGGGTTGATCTTGTGCAAGAGTTGACGAATGTCCTCCACCGTGAAGACCAAGTTGGTTAGAGGCTGTTCGTAGTTTCTCTTTGACAAGAGTGGATTGGACGAGGACACTGGAGCATAGTGTTCTCTGTAAGCCTCAGATACCACTGTTGGGTCATTTGTCGGTTTTCCGTTTCTGTCCCTCAAGGAGAACGCGGATGGCTTGTTTCTGAGGCGATGTCTCGTGTACTTGATTCGATGCGCTGGAGATCAATCCAGGAGGCCTTTGGGCGTTGAATTCACCTACCAGCAGGAGATGAGTGTAATGGTAGTTGGAGGAGAGTTGCTCAGGGGTTTGTGTGAGGAATTGGTCATCTCCAGGGGGACTCGAAGGGCTACGGTAGACCACGCCGAGAAGGAGAGAATCGGACCCGCGCAGCGGGATTTGGACTCACAGTGCATCGCAGAAGGGTGCAAAAACAAAATCACTTCTCTTGACGGTGCATGGATTTAGGCACCAAAGTAATCTCAATTGGTTTCAGTCGTCTTTATTACACCACAAATTCTTGTGTGAGTTGTAGCGAACGATGAACGATTGTGAAGGTCATAACGCCCAGCATTCCTAAGGATATTTCAAAATAACATTAACCGCGCGAGCCGAAATGCATCAGACGCCGACGGTAGTAGTTGTTACTCAAACTGACCTCTGGCGTTCTAGTCTGCTTACCAAATCTGCACCATGTTGTCGCCTATCATGAGGAGCAACACTATCAAAAGTAAAGGCCCACTTCATGATATTCGTCTGCAATCATTATCGCCATCATCTTCAGCTGAAAAAACAGCGTACTTGCTGAGTAGTGGTCATGGCTTCCGTATTTCCGTTCGCCGATGATCTAAAGAGGTGGTGGTGGCGTAAACAGAGGGTTGTCAGCGAACTTTTCATTGGAGAGATCAGGAGGTGAGCCATGCATTGAAGGCAACAGCATGAGAGTGCCACTGAGCCAAGTCTGATAATGTCCCTAAGCATTGCTGTATCCAGTCGGGTTCTCCATCCAGGGGGAGCAATGGCCAGCGCTGTTGAGTTTGCTGGTAATGGCAAGCCGTTGTTTGACACCCTGGCTTATTCCCACCCTTCGTGTGGTTACGCGAAGAGGGTCCTTAGGGGGGGTCGGCCAACTGACATATACGCACCACGTGACCAAGATAATGTGACCAATTGAGTGCGATCAGTTCATCTATCGTAGACGAGTTATTTCTTCTGGAAACCACTCGATATAGCTGCAAGATGGCTCAGTGGTTAGAACGCGAATTTACTGACCGGAAGGTCTGTGGTTCTGCCCCGACCTCTGCCTCTCGAATTTCCTTACCTAGACTTGATCAGCCTCGCAGTATCTCAGCATTCATGCTTCCTTCGGGTGGCATGGCAGTTAGACACCGAACGGGTGCTACAGCTGAACTATGTACATCCGATATGATTTGGCATTAGTGGTTTGGTGTTCCCACTAGACTGGGTTGATGCCCCAAGGACATTGACGGTCGAATACTGGAAGTATTTTGATGTGGTTTGGTGTGTTTCTTTCTAACTTGCGAGGGCCTAAATTGAAATGATATGTCAGGCGTCCGCACGCAATTTCGAAACAAATACGCAATAAGCGCCTTTCGGCTATTTTTCACCCCGTCGCAGCGTTCCGTTTATAACACACCGAATATTCTCCAGCTGGGATGTTGGGATTTCGTTTCATAAATAGTATTATCGTATGGAGAATGAAATAATTAATGATAAAATAATAATCAAATATTAAACAATAATTATTGGGAAGTAATACGATAAGTTATAAATAATTTTAGCGAATTGGCAATGTTACCTAAAATCAGATTGGAGTAAATTCGTTGTGGGAAACAAACGTATTATTATTATTATGTTCTAACCGGCGTAACCTGCGAAGCGTGAGTGACTTATCTTCTCTGAAGGTGTTCCATTTGCACGACGTTTTGTCGGAGCTCAGTTTTATGAGTTATTATTTCATTGACAAGTTGATGTTGCAACTAGTCTTGATCAATAATCCGAAGGAGCCAGTGGTCGAATGCTGGCGGGTGTCGCATGATCTTCGTGCGTAAAGGCCATGGACTGCACCAGTGCAGCGTAAATCCACTTTTGACACACAACATGCCGTCACGTTGTCACCAGTTTTCCGAATGTATGGCACCATCCGGGCCGATCTTCCCGATACGATGGTCTCCAGCATAGCCATCGAAACCCACACAGTGAATTAGGGGAAAAATTTTGTCGACGACATCGGTTGGCTCATCTCAAAGCATGAGGTCTGTGTCCGAAACCAGGCAATTTTGTGACAGCATTTTACTTTTGCGGATGTAGAGCACTTATAAAAGCTTAGCAAGCTTATCTATGTCATCTAATGTCTTGGTCTTTTGAAGGATACGACCTAAGTAGATCGCTACCTTCCACATAACCAGTGTCTGTGAGAAAGCATCCGGAGGCATTTCGCTTTCCGAGGTTTCAGAGTCAGGTGGAATGCGTGAAAACAGTGCCTCACTAACGGAATTGAAGATGGGTCGTGGAAATGGGTCGTTTTTCCTTGCGCCATTGGAGCTGAAGATAGTTCGGTATTTAGGGCCCAAAATTGATGACCGGCATTTTCGTGGTCCCAAGGCAATTCAGGCGTCAAATTTGCTCTTGCCTAAGCTTTTGTAACCTGGCAACGTCTCAGCTTTTGGTGGCGCAACAACCAGGCACTGAAAGAGTGTAATGGCTGGACAATAGTTTTTTACAGCACCGGACGTAGCGGACTCGNTGGACAATAGTTTTTACAGCACCGGACGTAGCGGACTCGGGAAAAGGCTTGCTGTGTTTTCGTCCGCCCAGAGGAGTCTGTGTAGAGTGCTCTCATTAGTGATACGAAAACGAAACACCCTTGTTTGTCACACGTCGCCAGATTTTCCGGTGTTTGACAGGGTCAAAGCTTTCGGATAAAGTATGATTACCACAGTGGGATATTGAAGAAGTGATTTTGCTCAAGAATTTGTCTCAAGATACGGACAATGCATCCTGACCTGGACGAAGCCCATATTTATTCTCAAGAGTTCGCCTCTTTCCATTATACAGCAACTTGAAAAAATGACACCAGGTAGCGACTAGGGTGCCAAGGCTACCAGGCCGATGCAACGGTGAATTTCGCATGGTTTATTATGTCC